AATGCAAGTCTGGCACAGGTGACCACAGTTGCAGAGCGGGGGAGGTTTTTCTGTTGTAGCAGTCCTCTGGAGCAACAGGAGCAGCAAGCGAGCTGGGAAGTCTAGCCAGGCCTGTCACATTCTCCTCCTTACAAACTTTTCATGGCTGGGCTCCCTAAATGAGAGAAAATCTGATTATTCTGGGTTTGAAATGCTGAATTTCTGGGGCTAGACGCTGGAATGAAACCAGAGGTGGGCAAAACGCGACACCTTCTATGTTGCGTAGATTGCAAACCAGTCAGCAGGTCAGGGTGTTGGGTAGCACGAGCAGCCTTTTTTTTAAACCTGTGAGCCTCATCTAAACCTTCTGTCTCCTTCACTATTGCCCACCACATGTGTCCTGTGAGTTGAGCCCCCTTGGGTGCCAGAAGGCTCTGCCTCTCCCCTCCTCGGTGGTTTGAAGGAGCCCTGAGTACAAGAAGGAGAAGAGGGAACTTTAATGGAGCCAAAGTAAAGCTCCTACTTTGCTACTGTAGTCATGAAGGGAGGAATTAATCTCTCCTGGTTCTTGACATCTAAAAGCTACCTGTCCAGCCAAAGACAGTTATCTGCACCCTGTGGTCGGTGCAGCGAGAGGGGTGCTGTGAGGCACCATCTCATTCCTTGGCCTGGCACGAATTGTCCTGAGATGCCTGACGCTTTCCACGGACACTGGTGGGAGCCTAAACAGCCGTCTGTGCAAGCTATAAAATAAGTCCCCCATGAGATGAAAGTTTAAGTAAAAGACATTGCAAGGATCGAGCTTTTGGAGAAAGAACCAGCTGCTATTGTTAGTATCACCAATATGTGGCAGAGAGGAGCGTGGCTGTGCCTTTGCAGGCCCTTGCGATGTGTGAGAAGTGGCTCATCCCACGCTGAAAATGGTGTGGTGGAAAGGCACAGCCAGGTTGCCTTGCGGTGCCTTATGGCAGAGCCAACCTTCAGGCTGCCCGTGTGTCCAGCGTGTTCCCTTGGCACGTGTGAGGGGGAATGGGCACCCATGGCCAACCTGCCCTCCTTCCCTCGAACTGCAGCGGGAGCCTGCGCAAGGTAGGAGCTACACAGTGATGGTGAGCTGGGGCTGAGGAGACTTGAGCAGCTTGGGTGAGCCTCTGTGCAGCTTGGGTATGGCCACCCTTTCCATCGTGCCATCACTTGTGACAAGCATTTTAAAAAACATTTATCATTTGCAGTTGTGGGAGACTAACCTGACGCACCTTCGTGTTTTTATTCTTCCCTCTTTTTTTTTATTCTAACCACACAGAATTTTCGGAGTAATTTACTGTTTTCAGTTAAACTTTTAGCTGGACGTTTGTAGTACGAAAACTTTTGGCAGGATTAAATGCAAATGGGAGATGAGACTGATGCACTGTGTTTGGAAAGCTGTCCTGGCTCTAATCAAATCGCTGAGGATGTGTCATCTCACCCTCTCCGCTCGTTACCCCAGGTTTCTTGTACTAAGCTCTGTACCCTATGTGAAGAACATCACCCAGAAGCTAGTACAGTGCAACACAGGAAGCTTTTCTTTTAGGACAGATGGTTTGATGTTGATCACATGTCTCAGGTGTTAAAATCTTACCCCAGAATGTGTCAGATGTGCCATGTTAAGCCAGGGTCTGAAGCAGTCCCCTCCCGAACGGTGCTGATTCCACCAATAAGCATGTTTATTAACTCCCCCTTCCTCTTTGACAGGATGACTTGCTGTCCTTGAAAGTTGTCAGCGTCCTCCACCACCTCAGCATCAAAAGAGCCATTCAGGTTTTGAGAATAAATAATTTTGAGCCCAACTGTCTGCGCAGGAGGCCGTCTGATGAGGTACTGCTTTAAGATGAAGCTGTCAAGAAGAATCCTCTAGGGTTTTTTTCCCTGATGTTTCTTATTATTCCTGCTCTGCTCTCTCCTTCTGACTCCTCCTTCCTATTTCATTCGGTTTCATTGTCGTTTTTCTTTTTTTCTCATATTGTTCTTCTAGTCTCATGTTCTGCCATCACACCACTTTCTTTCCTCCACCTGCCATAGCCCCAGATTCATATCCCCCTTGCCAAATCTACTATTTCTCTTCCTAGCCAACAGCTGGCTGTTCTGACCTAGTCTGATGTGCTGTCTGGAACGTAAATCATCTTGAACTCAGTGCACTGTTGCCGTGAGTCTTGTGTAACTCTCTGGAAAATTGATGGCTGTGTCAAAATTTTCTGTGTAAAAGTGGTTTGGCCCTGTTACCCAATGGGAGACTGCCATCAGTTTGTTTTGGAAGCAGTGCATGCTGGAGAGGGCAATGGATGATGAAGCAACCTGGACTCTTGCATTTAGATTCACAATGCATATCCACGAGAAAAGCACGGCTCATGGAACTAGCTAAATTTTCAATTCTCCTGGTAGAAACTGCAAGTAGTTCCAGTGCACAGCAGGATAATCAAATGATGTGAAGCATAAGACAGACCTGCCCACTGTCCAGACCCATCTCCATGTTGGTATTGCTGCAAAATAACAATCCAAAAAGAGTTGTGTTTTTTTTCTCAAGTGCAAAGTGGGCTTGCATTCATTAAGGGCAGGAGAGGTTTGTTTCAGTAAAGACTGGGGCTGGGACAGCTGAGTCGGGAAGTGTCCTTAACTGCCCGTTCCGCCTGTTTACAGAATAATGTCACACCTTCTGAAGTCACCCAGTGGACCAATCATCGTGTGATGGAGTGGTTACGGTCCGTTGATCTGGCAGAGTATGCACCTAACCTGCGGGGGAGCGGTGTGCATGGGGGACTGATGGTAAGGTTTTAGGCTTGTTCCATTTTATTAAAAAAAATATGGCTGAAAATCGCTAGAACAAAGTTCTGACATTATCTTTGCTGCACACACCTTATCTTCTTACTCTGCTTAATAAGAAGTCGCTATCAAAATTTATTACCCTATAGTTTAAAGGACGTGAATGTCGTGGGCAGCAATGGGTTTGATTATCTGTATTCCCCTCACAATTTAATTTAGGTATGGCATTCTCCACCTTCTGTCCTGCAATGCTGTACACTGCTATCATGCTGTTAAACAGCCACTGTCTTCCTTCCTAGACCTGGATATGTTTTTATTTTGTGAGGAAGGCTTGTTACTTTTGTAAAATTTATGATTTCAATGTCAAACCAGTATTGTTTTTAGTTGCTCTAGCATCAGATACTCCAGACAAGAGACTCATACTTGCAGAAGTTTGTTGTGGTGATTAAGAGGCATATCCTGCTCCAAACATTTTATGTCTGTTTATTTTCCATCATTCCTCTGGCTATGTTTTCCAGAATTAAAGAGGATGGTGGGTAAACATTTTGTGGCAGCTTCACACGTTACGTGAGTTAAGGGTGGATTTATCTGTTGCTTTCTTCTTACCTGCCAATTTGTTTCTATTTGTAACTCAAGAGGGAAAGCCCGGAGGTAGCATTTTATGAACCCTTTAACTAGTTGACTCTCTTTTCTCCCTCTTTGTTGTATGTTTCCTCTAAAATACAAACAAAAACCCCAAAGCAACCTTAGGAAGAGACCAAGATAGGTGTGCCTGTTGATGTCCTTGAGACCTCATCAGACAGTACTGGGTTCAACTGGGTTCTCTGTGATTTGATTACTAGGTTTTGGAGCCTCGTTTCAATGTAGAAACCATGGCACAGTTGCTGAACATCCCACCAAACAAGACGCTACTGAGACGGCACTTGGCAACTCATTTCAACCTCCTCGTTGGGCAGGAGGCCCAGCAGCAGAAACGCGAAGCCATGGAGTCCCCAGACTATGTTCTCTTAACAGCAACTGCCAAAGTAAAGGTAGGTCACTTGTTCTGGGTTGGTGTGTAAGCTTCCAGGCAGACATTTAGATCTCCAGTGTGCTGATTTTATCCGTGTTTGGAGGGCAGTTCAGTAAGGTCTGAGAAGAGGGGCTGTCTGCTAACAAAAGAAGCATGAGAGCAGGTCTCAGCAGATCTGGATTTGACACTTGGGTCTACCATGAACGCACCACATCTCAGCCTCTCATATGCACAACAAAGAGGTAGCACTCTTGTGTGTTGTGCTTCTGTCAGTACTATGAGGTGTTTGGGAGGGAGACTGTCTCTTACTGTTACATGCTCATGATTTAATGCAGCGGGATTCTGATCTCATTTGGGATCCTCTAAATAATGTTGTTTTAACAATGGTAGAATGAGGGGATGCATCATGTTCTTACGGATGCAGTTATTCGTGAAAGACAGCTATTCAGAAGATCTTTCTTCAGGAGAGCAGTGGGGTTTTGACCCTTTATCATTGAAACACGAGTGCAAGAGTAAGAGATCTGTTAATGCTTTGCTGATTCTCTAACTCCTTGTCAATTTTGTTTTCATTTGTAAGCCAAAGAAACTTGCCTTCAGCAATTTTGGAAGCCTGAGGAAGAAGAAGCAAGATGATGTGGAAGAGTATGTGTGTCCTATGGAGCTGGGGCGGGCATCTGGGAGTGGGTCGAAGAAGGGTTTTAAGCCTGGCCTGGATATCCGAGTATATGACGATGATGATTTGGACAGGCTGGAGCAGGTAAGCCAGTTCTAGCATTTTGGAGTCCTTGACTGTGCCATCAGGTTTGGTGAAAAACCTTCATTTTCACAGGGAAGCTTTCATTTTTCTGTGGCCCCTGAAGATCCTGACTTCTTGCAGTCGCACAACATTACTAACAAAAGTGTCTCTCGGCGCAGGGAGGTTCAAGCTGTGAATGCAGCGCCTTTAGGACCTACTCTGGCATAATGGTCCTCTCCCGACAGGGCACGCTCCTCCCTTGCTTTGACCATGTTGGGTGTAATCAAGCAGTTATATTATGTGCTGCACTTAATTGTCACACTCATGGTATACAATGAATTTATTATTGATTCATTATTCTTTATCTATTTTTTGTAGATGGAAGATTCAGAAGGGACAGTGAGGCAAATAGGAGTGTTTTCTGAAGGCATCAACAACTTGACAGTAAGATTTAAAAGTGGGGTCTGTGGGAAAAGATCTCTATTTCCGTAAGATGGGTATAAACCCCTTGGCAGTCACTAGTATTAAATAGCTAAATATATGTAGCTAAAATGCTATTTAATACTAGCGACTGCTAAGGGGTTTATACCCATCTTACAGAAACAACGATGCTAATTAATACAAATACACTAAGTACAACTTTTCTTTGCTATTACTGGCTTTGCCAAGCAGCTGAGTTTTGTAGTTTTGGGGGCAGTTGCCTTGATCGATTTCAGTGCATAGGGGGAGCTAGTTTTTGGACAGAGTGAAGCGCCACTGGTCTCTGAGGGCTAAAGTATATATAAAATACTCTGCAAATTATGGGTATAGTGAAGCCTTATCAGAACTAGGGGTCAGTTGAGGTCCTTTGTTTTTTGTACAGGGACAGAGGGGCAAAGAAAAGCTAGCAGTTCAGGAAGATTCTTGCCCATCCTGGCAGGGAGGTTCCCCAGCTGGAAGTGGTGACCCGTGGTCTCCAGCTCTCCTTGCTAACTCCCCACCCTCTGAGGAGGACAGAGGATGCGGCAGCTGGCTCTAGGCCAGCGGGTTGCCCTTGGGCGGTGAGTTGCCAGCTGAGGATCACGGCGTGTTTTCTGGGTGGAAGCCCAGCCACAGCCTGCGCTCCCCAAGCCATTTGGGCTGGCAGCGAGCTGGTTTTTCACCAGCATGAGTGGAAAAATACCCTCAGCAGAACGAAGCAGTGGCTGGTAGGGCTGACAGCCGTGTTTGCTGCTGGGCACAGGACTGGACCATCCCAAGTGCCTCATTTCAGTTGTGAGGCTCTGAACCTTGACTCTTCCCTCCTTTCCTTTCTAGCACATGTTGAAAGAAGATGAAATGTTTAAAGACTTTGCGACTCGCTCTCCTAGCACCAGTATAACAGATGAGGACTCCAACGTGTGACAGTAACCACCAGGCACTGACAAAGGCTCGCTTTCCTGTGTGCAAGAAACGTCATCATTATACATGATGAGCAGCAGACCATGTACGTTACATTGCTCTTGCTTCTGTTTGTTAGAAGTAACATTGAGGGGTGGAGAATTTTAAAAAAAAGAGAAGGAGAAAAAAAAAGGTGCCTACTCTAAAATTGCCATAAGAAACACCCAGACACTGGTGAATGGTAATTGTTTTTACTATATTTAATGTACAAACTGGTGATATGTTTCAGAGTGTTGCATTTAAATTTACGTGGTATGATAGTGCTCCTTTTGCTTATTCACAGCCTCAGATAATCCTTTACACTGTTTCAAAATAACAGAAGGTGTTAGGTAGAAGTATTGTTTCTGTAGATATCGTGCATCAACTTTCTGTAGGCTCTCAGCTAAAAAAAGACGTTACTGCTGTTTTTCGAGTGCATTTGTTCAGCACAAATACCAGTTCTGCCCTTTCTATGGTATCCAATGTAGGATTTTAGTCATTCACGCCCTGCATAAACTCCCTGGTAGCTCTTGACTGTTGCTTTTATTTTTATACTGTTTTATAAAAAAAAAAAGAAAAAGAAAAAAGAAGTATATGAAGTAGATATAAAAGCAAAAATTTAAATTTTGTGAGGTAGAGTGATGGAAAGTTCAAGGTATGGGGGAAGGGGAGAGGGTTGTAAAACAATTATGCCAGTTTGCATACCAGCTGGTTACTGGAAAAGGCAGGCTGACCTTTGGAACTGTTTGCTTTCATTGCTTTTTACTAAGTGCACAGTTTAATGATCTTCCATTTGGGATGAAACAATTATAAAGCATCTTTCTTCTAGCAGTGACTCCTATGGAAACTGCACGTTTTAAAACATCTTTCTTGTTCCCAGCAGCAGTAGTTACAACATTCAAACAAGGTTATTAACACTTCTGTGACTTAAAAAATTTCCTAAAGTTGAGGGTACTCCCTGCATATGGAAGGGATATTTCTGTGCTGTGACTAACATAAAGATGGTGTAGTTGCAAAATAAAATTGAAGTTATATAGAGAAATGTATAGGAAATATATTATTTCATAATATTAAATGTAAGGTGGGACTTTTCCTCCAAAATTGAAATATCAAACATATTGCTCATCATTTTACCTTCTTAAAGCAGAGCTCCTCTGCTTTTTGAAGATCATCACATTTTAAAAATCCTAACTAACCAGTGGATATCTTTTGTCAGACTTTCGGTATGGCGAGGTGTCCTAGCCAAAGCAAACAAACAAAAAAAAAGTAACTCTGTTTTTTACAGTGGTCATTCATATGATGTTGAACGTTGCATGTATTTTAGCACAATGGCATGAAGCTTCTTTGCTTTGTAAAGGCAAAAAAAAGTACAGCTGGAATTGTTCCTTGCGGTAGTGTGTTGCTTTACCAAGCGTTTGTCACTCGTTTCGTTGTTCTCCTTGCTGGAAGTGAGACCGTTTCCAACATGTTACTGGTGTGCTGCGAGGGATACTAGATTTGCGCTGACTTTGTGGGTATTCCTGCAAAACTATTTACAAAGCTAGGAAAGGAAGAAAGGTTCTTTCAGGGGCTTTCAGATACTGGACTAGATTGGAGATATATTCTAGCATTATATTGTATTATATTGTAACCTGATAAGCTATTACCAGCCTGGTTCTTTGAAGGATGTGCAGCGTAGGCTACTATTTATGTACCAAGATGAAAAATTTGATGTGGACCGTTTTTGTTATATAGTATCAAGTGCTGCCATTTTCTCTTGAATAACTGGAGCCAGGTAAACAATCCACAATATATACATAAAGTAGTTGGTGCTGCTTACCGTTTGTCTACAAACAGATCACAACTGATGCTTTATTCGGTATTCCTGACTAATTCCTGTCTGCAAATAATTTGCTGTCTGTTGTTTATTCCTCGGCAGTCTTGAGGGTGTTTGAGCTATTTTGTTTGAGCAGAAATACTGCATTGTGTAATGCCTGCAGTCAGCTTTAGGGTGCAGGTGCTTGGGATGTGAATTCAGGGCTCACTTTCTGTGAATACTCTGCAATATGGTTATTATTTACATGTAAGTTGAGCTTAAGACCCTGCTCTCCTAAATGCTGCAGAAGTACTGGGAAGATGTGGTGCAGGCTCCTGAGCAAAAGTATTCCTCCAGATTCGCTCGCACTAGATGCTGGCTAGTCAACATGACTGGATAGTCACAGGAGGAAAAAAAGGGAGGCTAGTGACACAATATTATGTGCTGAAATAGGCACAAACAAATACTCTCCGATTTCTCTTCAGTCCAGTGCTATTAGCAAGTGTATCAACAACTGCAGATGATGGTTTATTTAAGTCCAGTGTAAGTAGCATTCTGCTTCAGACAACCCCTTCCTGCATTCACCGGTTGGAAGCCAGGTCATCCCTTCGAATCAGCTGTCATCTGAACCTTGGTTATTTTATGGGGGTGCAATATAAAAGCAAGTGATAAAGTCAGGAAGTTTAACTGCGCATGTGCACACAATTGCTACCGTTGGGGTATTTTAATTTGTGCGTGTTTGAAGAGGGCAACATAACTACTGTGTATTGCCATGTAAAATCCAATAAAGTCTGTGGAAAATGCCAACTGTTTCTGGAAGCTGGTTCGTTTTTAATGTATCCTCTTTTTTTTTCCTTTTTATTTTCCTAGGAAGCTCGTTTTGTTCTATTTAAAAGACAAAGGAGGTAGAAGGGGCACAATCACACATTTTTTTGTGGACTCATCAGTTCATTTGTTGGTAGTGCCTGCAGAAGGACTCAGCTAACAGCTAAGAAATCAACTACCCCAAGTCTTTTTACTTATTTCTGGGATCCACATTTGAACCATCTTGGGTTGTTTGGTATGGTGTAATGAGAAAGCGCTTCCCTGTTGCTCGGTGTCTGCTGCTCGGGGAGTCCTCACGGGGTGCTGAAGGAAGGACCAGCTCTGGCCCTCCTTGCTGTAAAGGGCAACCGTCTCTCTGGTCCCAGGTGTCATTCCCCTCCCCGTGCCCTCACAGCCCCCAGCAGTTACAGGAGCTCCAGCTACTTTGCCAACAGAAGTTGAGCTTCCCTAAGCTACATTTTGTTGCTGGAGGGTGCAGGTACAAATGAGGATCAATGTTTTGCCCAGTGTAGCCCAGACAATGGACCAGAAAGTGCAGAAGCCCTCTCTTGTGAACTACATTTCTGTGGTTTTGTTCATCAGCTTAATGTTTCAGTGGGATCACTGAGGATAAACATGTTGAAACCTGGAGTATAATAAACTTCTGTTGTCTGTTTGTTTACAGTGATGAGGAAGGATAGATGTGTATTCATCAAGAGCCTATGGAGATTAAACCCAGCTTTTTTCTGTTTGCTTAAACTACATATATGCTTAGGAATGGAGAAGTAATCCAGAATAACCTCTGGAATGACTCTTCTGATTCCTGTCCACTAGGTATTGTTGCATCCTGCCTTTCCCTTTAGGAGAGAAGTTGCACTTACCCTACCTGCATGCTTTTTATACCTTGCACTGCTTTGTTGTTATGAATGTTTAGTGTGTACTTTATGCTTCACCTAAGTATTTTGGCATTTTCATTTGCAGCAAGAGGTTTTCCTACTGAACCTCTTTATCCTGAGTTGGGAGGAAGAAGATAGTGCTTTGAGGCAGCTAAGAAGCGAAACTTTCTGAGTTGCCTGCAGATTTGGAGCAGTGGTCAGCAAGGAAAGAGAGACAGTATTAGGTGCTGGGGAACCCTTGAATAAAAAGGAAATTGGTGTTACGGTCAGAGATAACAGGAGAAGCAGCAACATGCTCCCTAATCATAGTTGTGAGAAGGTAATGAAGGAATGGAGGTGGGCCCATGACACATTTGAAGACTTCTGGAAGAAAAGATAGTAAGTAGGATATGATCTGTTTCTTGGAGAGAGGGCCACAAGGGCCGCAGCAGGACTGACAAGCCCGTGCACCTGAGAAGGTGTTTCCCTGGGGTGGCAGGAGCACAGGAACATCTGTAGGCAGGAGAGAGAGATCAAATGAAGATGTTTTGAGCAATGAGAGTAAAGAGGGCAGAGAAAGACAAATCCTCGACCTTTTTTTTCTCCACTCATTCAGAATGAAGAGGAGGAGGATTCAGCAGGACAGAGCTTGTTTCTTGAGAATCGTGGTGAGATCCTGGGCCAGTGAAGGGACTGTAGTGGTGCATGTGGCACCAGCAACATCCAGAGCTGAGCTAGGGCTGGCTCCTGCTGCGGCAGTAGCATACGTTCCAGCTTTCACAGCTAGGAAGACTGGATTTTGTAAGGTTAGGAAACTTGTTTATTTGTAGCTGTATTTGTTAGTCATGCATGGTGGTGCATTGACTGCCCAAGCTTCCCTGAGATAATCCAGTTACAGGCAGCAACAGCTTGAGCTTCTCAGTGGAGCCAAAAGTCCAGCTGGGTCTGTGTCCATTGCTATGGCACAGTTAATGCCACTGACAGCAGCAGCAGTTAATACTGGGGTACAGGCAATGGCCCATCAAAAAAGACCACCGTGTCATTTCAAGCACCCTGTAGAGGTCTTCAGGTTTGGATGCACACCCTTCTCTGGGTAATTAAAAGAAAAAGGTTGTTTCATGTCCAGGAAACACCCAGTGTCAATAAAATGGCTTCTCTGTAATAGACTAGAAAGGAGATCAAAGGAGATAAGATCAGACTGGAATGAGATAGCATCAGCTTAAAAAGCTGGTGCCAGAATTAACAATAAGGAAAACAAGCACGGATGAATCCAGTAGGTGTGAAAGTTACTGGGCCTGTTGGGCTGGTTGCTGCTCAGTCAGCTGTGGAGAAACACCCAGGAGAAAGCCTGTCTGCCCTGGGGGACGGCATCCTGCTCGCAGAGCTCAACTCTGCCGCTGCCATGATCTTCATCTGGAAGGCAGCAGGTAACCGTGTGCGTACTCAATAGGTCCAGCTGAGCCCAGCACCTACAGAGCCTTCGCTGGAAAAGGCAGGGACTTCCCTGAGGCAGTCTGCATCTGGAAACGACCTCCTCCTGCACAGAAAATGGGCCAGAAGGTCTCACACGAGGACAACCAGGAGAACAAGGCTGAAACTCTAGTCATCTGTGAAGTCTTCAGCCAAGGCGTAGTCCATGCATCTCAAAGGCTGAAGGACTATCTTGGTTTTGTGGATCCTCAGAGCAAATTCCAGCCAGCCACAAACACGCTGAGCGAGATATTTTTGGTCAACTTCATCAGCTTCTGCATGGAAAAGGGAGTGCAGGAACGTATCGTGACCAGCAAAATGACCAAACAGCAGTCCTCCCTGTTTGGGGTGGACTGGATCTGGACTCTGTCTGGAGCTGACAAGCAAATCAAACTTCAGATCGCTGTGCAGGCTTTACAGCTGGTTGAGCTTTTCCGTAGCGAAGGCGGCCCCGCCGAGGCGGTGGAGGACTGCTGTCGGGAAGCTGTGCTGGCAGACGAGCGCTTCCAGAACAGGAGCAGGTTTGAGAAGCTGTCGGAGTTCTGCCGCTTGGTGGGACGGGACTGCCTGGGCTTGTTCATCGTGTTCGGTGTGCCAGGGAAGCCCAAGGACATCCGAGGAGTCATGCTGGACAGCATTGCCAAGGAGGAGCAAAGATGCTGCCCGTTGGGAAGAAATGCGCTACGGCAATTTGTCACCAGTACTGACAGCTTCCTACCCACAAAAGACATGTTGGAAAACTGCCTCGGTGCAAAAAACGGACCGAAGGAGGTGGGCAATGTGTACATAAACTTCCTGTAAACTGCTGGTTAACAGCAGTGGCTCTCCACGCCGGCACCAGAGGCTGAGTGGGGCGCAGCTCTGCCTCTCCCACTTTTCTCGCACGCCATTCCCTCCACCCCACTATTTCCCACCTTCCCCCTCCGCCCATTGCATTCCCTTAGATCCTGCAGAAGCCAGGCTGAGTCAGCCTCTCCAGGTTTTAAAACAACAGGACGTACCTGCCAGAAAAATGTGTTTATAGAAGGCACATCATTTTTGCAGAACATTTTGTTCACCAGACATTAAGTCTTGGCTGGAGCTGATGAAAGCATTATCGCCCCAAGCCTTTGGGAGGTCGTGGTAGGTTTGACTCACAGCCATTGTTTACTGTGTGGCAGATTTTTTTTTCTGTAATAAAGAAAATGTACTGGTGCTGGTCGGAATATTTGCATTGAGCGTGAAGGACAATATCAGGGCTTAAAAACACGGCTTTGGAGGAGTGAGCGGGTTCCCAACTAAGAGGAAGAGCCCTTCCCTGTGACAGAAATGGGCTCTATGAGAAACCTGCCCTCATCTGCCCCTTAAAAGAAGATCAGTGCCAGGCTACGGAGGGCCTCAGAGCTGGGACCAACATGCAGGGGCAGGGTTGGTTCCAGCTGAAAGCCAGTTCTTGCGGAGCGGCTGTGTCAGGTCAAGGTGTGGCAAAAGGCTGTGGCAGGTGTTAAAGCAAGCTTGGGGAAAAATCCACCAGTGGGGACAAAAACTTGGCCCTGGAGATGTTGGTGGGAGTTTTTGCTTTTCATGGCAGCAG